ATGAACTGTAAATACGCTGCAAATTTTGTTTTGTAGATCATAGATATATAAGGCATCAAGAATAATTATTGTTGTATGATCCGATTTCATAAAGATTTTCTTACATTGAGTTTATTTAAAGATCTCTGATGTGATATTTGTAAATATATGGACTTTGTTATTTAAATCACGTAATTTGTTTGCAACAATCAATGCTGTGAAAATGCTTGAGAATCAAACATTTCTTATAAGAAAACAATTTGATGTATACCTAAGTGAAATATTCCTTTATTATATGAAACAACATCAAATTGACCAGTATATTATTATCAGCTTCGGAACCATGTGTCATGAGACGTTGTTGATTTTACGCGATCTTGGTAATGAGAACAATAACATAAAACATACTCGGACAATAACTTTATCTCACGATACGAATTTGATTCAAGTGGTCATAGTTTGAAGTGTGCGTACACGTTTAATGCAAAAAATACATGTTTTATGTTGATAAGGGTATTTACATATTTCTTAAATGGTTTATTTGATATAAAACTTATGGATTTTGCGAAAATCCAGTGCTTAACAGCACCATAAAACACTCTTAAAATATTACTAATATAACGGATATAGGTACACAAAAATAATTAAACATAGATGAACAAGTTTTACTTACTTAGAGAGGTATCTAACTCGACACATGCTTTGTCGAATTCCTTTTCTAATAAATCTAACCATCGAAATCCAACTCCGGTAGTCGCCATTTTCACAATAATTTGTTGACAATTTACTGTCAAAGTGACATTTGCCCAAGCCAATCGTTTAGAAATTTCACATTAAATCTTTAATAACGTTCTGAAATAATACCACTCGGGATAAATATATCACTAACTACTGTATACATGTATTTTGAAAACTCGATTTCAAGTTATAACTTGGTAACAAAACTAAGGTTAAACCAGAATCAGTAGTTTAAATATTTTATATATAGCGACTAAAACTTTCTTCTTATACAGAGAGCTACGGTCGAGTGCTTCTTGAGATCTAGTTTTTTGGTTTCTGTGGTTTTCTGGGTTGATAATTTCGGATTTAAAGACGTAGGTAACATTCTAATAAAACAAATGCTGTTGTGGCAGTTGTTTATTTTAAATTGTAATTATTTACAAATAGGTACATGTAAGATTACGCCACAAATATATTTTTTGCACATTTGTGAATAGCTAAATCACTAAGCTTTATTAACTAAAATTATACTACATAGCTCCGCTATGCAATGGGCAATGTATTTTGCGTAAGTAGAAAAATTGGCTAACGACCTAAAATTTATAGAAGACAAGTAATCAATTTTATCAGAATAATAATTTAATTTTACGTTGCTAAAAATGTCAAATCAATTTATTTAAAAATACACTGGTGGAGAATGAAATTAGGCCATTTACCAAAACGCGGTTGTCGTGAATATTTTAAAATAAAAACTATTTTATTGATTACAATCATTACAATTAGATACTGAATTTCGAAGTATATTTTTTGAGACGCAACCTATTATTTAATTTCTATTTCTATTATTTATATCATAGTAAGAATACAAATCGTAATAAAAATGACGATAAGTAAGGTATTCATTGTCCACCAGTATCAGGTAAGTACAGACTATATAGACACCTACTGTAGGTAAACCTGCTCCAATCTTTTTATGCAATATATACTTATTTTCTTTTTTTTTTGGTATTGAAATAAAGACATTGTCGTCTTTATTGTATTACCAAAAAACATAAGAATGACTTCACATTAGTGCATTCACCCCATAATTCCTACATTAAAAATGACTTTTGCAGATTGGAGGAGCTTCATGGGCTGTTCAATGTTAAACAGATTTCAATTCAATTCTTCTTGAGACAAATTCGTATAAAATCTTACGCATACACACATACATATAACTGCATTTGGAAATTCATAAACATAAAACTCACAGACCTAATAGCTATGTATGGTTACAAAAGCTTAATTTAATTTATACAAAACTTAGGATTGTAGCCTATGACATGATATATTATTATATTTTAACTTTATTGTTGTTTTTCGTGTAATTTTCGGACTTGAGTAATTGTTTGTTAGTTATTTATCAAAGCATGATCTAATATAATTACATAGTACCGAAATTAGACTGATATTTTGAAAACAAAGCTGTACTCTAGAACTGAATATAGTAGTTACTAATATTACCTATCATGTGTGATGCCATTGTCATGGCTACTGAAACCTAAAATTTATTATATACATTTATTACAAACTGTTTATTGCACCAACCATCTGTTCGAAATAGACAAAACCGTTCAGCAGTACTCACAGTTCCTTATTTACTGCAATTTTATCTAAATCAACAGATAAGTTGATCCCACCGTAAAATAACATGTAGTGTCTTTTTATATACAAGTATTACCACTGTAACATTCGATTATATAATAATTATAAAATTATAATATATCAAGATTTCACTCTTCAGTATAAACATAAATTAAATTCACATTTAAGTTGGGTTTAAATAACGACCTAACATTTCGATATACTCCGTTTTTATAATTAAATATTACAAGAATGATCAAATAGCATTCGGCCACATGTTACATATAATGCCATCTGGTATTCATGTGCCTAGAGCACCTCTAGTAACAGTTTTGTATAATATTTATGATACCTAAAATATGGTATTGCCACAATTTAATTTACAAAGCTAACATGTTAGCTTTAGTTGAAGTAACTAAATAAATATGTATATTATGTATTATACCCCATATTGATGTAACTTAACACTTCCATTATGCTTAGGATAGAACTATCCCACTGAACTATTGAATTTTGATAGCATTTTTAGTAATCAAACCAATGTCTAGTTTGAATGCTTCTAAAATTGGAAAGAAAGTTCTTTACATTCCATCTTGTGTTGTTATCCATTCATAGTCACTTTTTCTATCTAATAACTAACTTTTTAATTTAGAGTCCTCAACGCTACAATCGTGTCTTCGTTATTACTTGATAATTGGTTTAACTAAGGCACAATTACCTCCCCTAACATACCTTGCAAAACTACATTACTTACAATTGCTCACTGCTGTTCACAATCGGCAATGTTGCTTACATTATTCATGTGACTAATATTAGAATGTGTTCTACAAAATGCTAAGGATAAGTCGACTATTCCACATCTGTTTAAAATTATGTTGTAGAAAGGTTAATATGTGATTAAAAAATATATTTTTCCATCATTAAGTGACAAATATCTAGTAATTGCTTTCATTCTGCTCTTAAGCCTTTCCCAAGAACCCTCTATCCATAGTGAAAGCTGTATATAAATCCAACCAGTATTTTTTAAGAACAGTAATCAAACCCGTATATGTCTAAGTACAGGTTTGTTTTACGGTCTCGCTTCGACCTCGTTAAACGTAAAATAAACTGGTACTAAACCCTCAGGTCTCAGCCGGAAGTTATTTTCTTTCTGTATTTCTTATTTTCCTCCAATATGTATCAATGTAATGACCACTTTCAAAGGTAGCTCCAACACATAAACTCGGTTCTTATTGCTTACTTGATTAATGTAAATTTAAAATAAATAATTAGTCTTTACCATATAGGTACATTCTCAATTTCTACGATATTCACGGTAGTCAAGAAGTTCAATGCTTAATTTTATCGGTTTTCCATACATGTTTCGGCAGTTACCCTTATCGCAGATTGCACTATCAATCATCTAGCAAGCGCCATTCAAGTACAGTGATACAGAGAGGGAAATCCCGTACTATACTGTGGCAGTGGCCATGTTTTTAGATTTTATTTGATCAGAATGATTACCTCCAAAGAACATAAGTAATCAGCAATTAAATGTCAAATACTGTGAATAGTTGTTAACATTTAAATACTGGAAAAAGTCTCGATACATAAATAACTCTATTATAGATTTTTTTTACAAAAATATTCTAATATAGACCACATAGTTATTGCCAGATTATAGCTATTTATCATAAATAAAATGTACAGATGCAAGTGAGGTCAACAAATATTTAAAATAAATAATATTTTTAGACAAGTTATTTTAGAGCATTAAAATGTTACACCTTAGACCAGAGAGCTATGTGCTAATATGATTCAGTTAAGTCTCGTGTGAATTAATTATCTAATATCATGAGTTTTTACGTACAAGAATAGCATTGAAAATGATGAGTTCAAGCTAAGTACATTCATACAGATAACACTCACATCAAAAGGAATTTAGAAACTATAGTTGGAACACAATATGACATGCCTTTTAAAGTAAATTATTATTTACGTCAAGTACTAACGGAAGCAACACAAGACACTTGAATAAAGCTAGGGATTATGGCAGTCTAGTGGATACGCCAGCAGACTTGCCTGTTGGTATATCCATCTAGCTAGTAATTTCCCTGCTTAGCATTCCATGCCTAACTCAAAATAGTTGCACTCAGCTACATCTTATAAATAATTTGAAAACAATTTCTTTAGTCTTCGATACATTCTTAACAATTGTCTAATATGAACACAATAGACTTTTTACAATATAATAATGCATAATTTGATGTACTTCAAACTTAGTAACCTAACAATAAAATAATAAAGTATTATATGCTTACATATTTATAGATATTTGGATGCTTTTACAACCAACCAGCCTACCATAACACATTTCAAAATAAAAACACAATAAGGAACCTTTGGTTTTATACCTACAAGTACAAGTATCAACATTGCTAAATCACCAAAAAATGTTGTTCTTTAAAACATGTTGTATATTATTATTTATATTTTAAAGAAATTCACATTTTATTACAAAATATATATGTAATTTCTTTCATATTTTTAACATTGGAATTTTTCTATTTTCATATAAATATTCAAAAACATTTTATTAATGGACTGTACATTAATTAAACTGCTTGTATAGTTTAAAAAAAATGTTTCAATTGAAAGTATATAAAAGTAGAAAATAATAAATAAAATTATACACTAAATTGTAATTGTATAAACAAAATGTTTTATAGTTTTTGTACCGTTATTATAGCTACAATAAAGTAAATAAACATTCATTAATGCAATAAACATGAGGTAAGATAATGTTTCACGCACTCAACAGATGTACAATTCTCCCAGAAACTTCTTACTAAGATGTATATTCTTAACATTCGATTTATAAACTTTGAAACTACTAATGAAGTAACTCTCAGACACATTTGTTATAGCAATATTCTTTTGTCCTAAGCTTACATTTACTAAGCATCCAGAAGTACATTTGAATCATAATTACCAAAATCGCATTGGTCGCCACATTTAGCTTGCTGTGCACATACAAACACTACATTTAAATCACTTTAACTTAAGTAAAAAGCACTTTGTTCTTTATATGTATATAAACTTGTATTAAGAAATTACGCACCCATTCTTGTCTGGTATATGTCCATCTGATCGCTCAATCTCTAATAATATAGCATGGAACATGTCGGTGACAGACTGAAATTATAAATAATTTCTATTTTAATAACTTTAATGTAGTAAATATGCCTACACTTCTGATGACAATGTCAACTGTTTATTAACCTCTGTTTGCCTTCATATGAGAGATAATAAAATACATATTTCTCTTGTTTAGGTTTTATTTTATTTAATTATGTTCTTAGATTCAAGAGGCTAAAGGTGGTTTGTAATCAATTATTACTGTGCCAAGGGAAACAAAGTTATATATAAAATTTTAACATTATCATCATATAATCAATCTGACGAATCTGATGTTTCAAAAGTACTAAATTATGGTTCAATTGAAATAAATGCTTTTGAGTTTGAATTTGAATGATGAAATCCTAATTATTGTAATATTTCAATGCAAAGTAAGAGAAATACAATATGCTTATCTCACCTCATTTCGTTTAGCACTAGTCTCAACAAACGCAGCCTTCCATTTCTCTGCTAGTCTTTTGCCCTCCTCTGTACTGATTTTTCTTTCTAGGTGAAGATCTGTTTTATTACCAACTAACACAATAGGTACACTAGAAAAAAAATACATCAATTTAATTATTATTCTCTATATAGTAAACATAAGATTTTGTTTAAAAAGAAACAAATTGTTCACTTACTGTATTTTCCCAACCATATCCAAGAGTTTGTCATAAATTATTTGTACTATTTGAAAACTTTTACTGGAAGTAATGGAGTAAACTAACACATATCCATGGAAGTCCATGCTGTACTGAAGTGGAAATATACTGTATTCATCTTGACCTGCCGTGTCCACCAGCTTCACTTCATATTCAGTTGAGTTTAGACGAATAAATTTGGTGAATGCTGTGAATAAAATTAATTAGTCTAAGTTACTTAAACATGTTCAACAAAAATTCAAGGTAATGTAATGATGTAATTTTAAAACAATCAAAAAAAAATCCAACTGCTTGTTTTCATTTTACCAGTATTTAATTATTATTAAATAATAGTCAAGAATATAACACCATCTATTGTAGATTAATTAAGTGCTTTTATCATATAATTTACACGCAAATGTTCCAATAAATAATAACAACAATAATAGATAAAAATCTATATCAAGAATTTTAAACAATATATCAATTTTCTGATTGGATTCAAGTTTTCTGAATTAACTTTTAAATTTAATAGTTTTACGAAAAATACGATCGCAAAGAGAACATGTGGGGTTCAGTGCTCAATGAATGTACGTATAAGCGTAGTATGACAAATACATGTTAAGAAAAATTTACAAAAAAAATACTTACTGTTTTCAATTGTCGGATCATAGGAATCTACAAACTGACCTTCTACGAACTGTATAATTAAAGATGATTTACCTGAAACCGTTTTTATGTTATTATAATGTCACATTACACTAAATAAGACGCACAAGGTAGACTGAAACGATAACATTACCCACTGAGCGATATCCCATCATAGCAATCTTCCTTTGCTTAGATGGCATTTTGAAAAGTCTACAAGAATTATTAAAACCTTTAAAATATTTGCACGTGAGCTGAAAAATGTAAAAACACAAGTTCAACCAAATTCATAATTCTCCTCCAGCACTTTTTACTTGTTTGACGTATGTCATGTTTGACTTTGACATTTCCTGTGAATGGAATCATTATTGTATGATTATTGTTTACTCACGATAATCATAGCTTGGATACATTCTTAAAAAAAAGAATCTGTAGCATTTCATACAAATCATACGATTATAACAAGTCTCACTATGTTAAGTGGACAATAGGATGCCAAACAATTACAAGATATAATAAAAGCTTCAGTCTTTTAGAGTTTTGTATTTATCGTATCTATCATGTAATCGCGTCCTTACATTTTTAGAACGTTGCGCGTTTTCTTGTTCGTATCGTTCATAACTAATTCGTATCCCATGGATACCTTAACCTTACATTAACAATAGAGGTTATTCAAATATTTAATTTTTTTAAAGTGAGTAAGATATTATTAAATCCAATTAATACAATTACTTACATTATATAATGCACTAACAAATAGTATAGTATAACATAATAATTTCAAGAAATAAAATAAATGTTTAAGTTCCAATATCATCACAAAATGCAAATCGGACCATTCATAATCCTACTATCCTATCTACCTTCCTTTCCTCCTATACTCCTACTCTACTCGATGGTTGCCAAGTGAGTCTCTGTCTATGCAAACAAATGTCAAAACTTAAGTGACATCATCCGTCATAATTCTATTTTTAATTCCGTCATTTCTGTCCAACTTTCGATTTTGTGAATAGAGTGAATTTTTGTTTCTACTTACATAAAATCTCTTGTTATTTTAAAATTACGTTAATAGTTGATGAAGGTAGGTGAGAAATAGTTTACATGTTTAATAACTATCTAAATATACATAATGCTGATAATAATATTATGATTCATCGCAATCGTCGAATCAAATAATATTTATTTTGTCAGTGGGTCTTATTTGAGTTTGTTTTGTTATCATTTCAGCATAATCAAGTATGTCTGTGAATATACCGGAGTGCCCAGCAAGTTTAAAGGCAATTCAGCATTACCTAAAGACTGCTGCAGAACATGATACTAGAGATCCAGTTGTGGCTTATTGGTGTAGACTTCATGCATTACAAGTGGGACTGAAAATTGCTAATAAGAAAACCCCAGAAGAAACGAAATTATTGATGGGTATGTATGCATCAAGGAAGCTTCAATAAAGTGAAATTACAGAATTTTTAATACTGACATATTTTTATCGTATTCTAGGATTGATGGATTGGTTAGAAGAAGTTAAGAAAACGAATCGAGAAAATGAAGCAATTACTAATGAAGTAGCAGCACAAGCCCATCTTGAAAATTATGCATTGAAGCTCTTTTTGTATGCTGATAAACAAGATAGAGAACAAAATTATGGAAAGTAAGTTATTAGTAATTTTTATTCAAATTTAAACTGTCGAACACCAAGTGGTCACCGGTGACCGCAACCTATTGTTCTATAATTGTGTCTACAAAACCGGTACTCGACGAGTTAATCTTCTGTCATTTTCTTATTTGTAGTATTATCAAATTGGTTCACCACTGTCATTATGTGATTGTTTTTTACGGAGACAACAACCTTAAATACATGTTAATATCTTTCAGAAATATTGTAAAGGCTTTCTACACGGCTGGTATGATTTATGATGTCCTGACAACATTTGGTGACCTTACTGATGAAGCTACCCAAAATAGAAAGTATGCCAAGTGGAAGGCTGCTTACATCCATAACTGCCTCAAGAATGGAGAAACACCTGTGCCAGGTATTTTTCATCATGTTTTAAAATATTAATGATATTCTTGATAAACATAATACATGGTGTAAATGGAACTGTATGAACCGAAAACATAGACAATTTTTACAATTTTTTTTTTGTTTTCGTGTTAACTCGAGAAAGGCTGATCATATTTGGTTAATTTTGGTCTTTAAATGTTTGTGGAACTCCTGGGAAGATTTAAAAGGTGAAAGTTTGCCGGGTCAGCTAGTTATTATATAATAGAAACAATCACCTGCTGTGTTTTCTAGGGAGTCTTCTCTTTACACCCAGTATTAAGAAAAAAGCAGAGGTGCACATTATATTATAATATATGCTATTACATTTATGTATAGGATGATGATAATATTCTATTTGAGTGGTTTGAGTACTTAAGAATAGAACAACTGTACAGATACTTGAAATAGAAATGATATCAACAACATGTAGTGATGAATTGTTAATCATTATAACATCACACTCTTTTATCATTGAAAGTGTCGTCAGAGGTGCTCATATAATTTAATTATTATTGTACATTCCCTTTTCACCAGTTATATTATGAGTAGTAAGTTAATAATTCAATAATAATAAACTTATGAAATAATTTGCAATTTTTTATATTTGTGTAGCAAGCAAATAATAATGAAAATAGATGGGATTGGTTGAGTTGATATTTTATGTAACTAGATTTGTATTGTTTCATCAGTCTGTTGGCAAAATATTAATTTATTAGTCTGCAATGACTTTTAAATCAGCGACAAAAACTTTAAGTATGATACTTTACCAATGTTTCTATTTTTGACAAACATATAGGAAACCCAATACCTTCATTTTACATTAATTAACTCGTCGAGTACCGTCATTATAGACACAATTATAGAACAATAGGTTGCGGTCACCGGTGACAGCTTGGTGTTTGACAGTTTAAATCAAAAACATCATTTTATTGTTCTGTTAATAATTATATATGTTTTGGTTGAAAATTTGCAGGACCAATGCAGTCAGAACAGGGGGATGAAAATGCTGAACAACCTACAAGTGACGGCTTACCTGCACCTGCACCTGCTCCCACGGATTTACCTCAAGTACCGGGATTTACTACTGTGACTCCAGCAACCCCACCAGTGGCCCCATCTAGCTTCAATAGTTTTCTGCCTGATCCCAATGCTGCAATGAGAGCAGCTTCCCAACTCCCACCAGTACCATATACTCCTGACCCAAACCCTGGTGGTTTTGTCCCTTATGACCCATCACAGCAACAACAACAACCAGAACCAACACCTACTAATTTATATGGTGACAATAGAATTGCACAGCTGTCCCCAGATCAAATTGCTAAAGCTCAGAAATATTGTAAATGGGCAAGTAGTGCACTCAACTACGACGATATTAAGACTGCTGTAGGCAATCTTAAAAATGCTTTGGAATTATTACAAACAGGCCGTGATCCTGCTTGAATAGCAGTTCATATTGTGATATATACTGTTTGTATAAATTGTTTTATTTTTACTGTTTGCTTTTTCAAGTTATGTTGGGAGCAATATTAAATGCTAATTAACGTTATTATTATATATACAATTGATCAATATTTTATAGGATTGCACGAATTAACTGAATATAAGGCAGCTTTAAAATTTAACTTTTTTGAAACCAACTGTCTGAAATGGAATACTCAGATTTCAAAGAAAAAGAGTGTTGTCCCACCTGCTGCCTTACTCTACTTATCTATGTTTAAAGCATTATTTTCGGATTTTAAGTTAGTACAATCAAATACAAGTTTTTTTATCTGGATAAAAGTGCATTATGTGCATTTTATATACACATTTGGGTTTTCTATATTTGCTAGTTCTAGTAGTGATTATGTGCAAAGAATTGTTGTTTGCAAGATATGAATCTGTTTAAAATAAAATGATAAGTGATAAAAAATATTATTATAGCTTGTTACTGAACAATGAAACTTATCCTATAATAATTAAAATATAATTATAATTCATAAATATTACATTTTATTAATCTAGTGGACATCTCACTCACGGTAAGGTTTTAAATAGAAAGAAAACTGAAGTGATAGAAAATCATTTTTTTACTAGGTGATCACTAGATACTCTATTCGACATATGCAGAATATAAAAATATAATATTTGCAGTATAGTTAATTGAAATAGTAGAAGTATGTTTTTGTCATGGAAATTGGAATACCTACAACACAAATGTTAGTTACTGTTTTTATATCAGAGTGCTAGAATTAATATATTAGAACAATAAACTAAATAAAGTCCAGATCATCTCACAAATTATAATACAATTAGGGAAATGATTTGCATAATTATTATAAAATGGTATATTAAGAGTCATTTATTGGTACAAAATATTGTAGTACCTAAGCATTAAAACTGCTTGATAATGGTGATATAAAAATATCACTTTCTCCATACATAGAAACAGGTAAAATAAAACATATAAATAATATTTTCCATTTATTCATTGACCATAACTTCACTTGTTTACACATCACACACCACATAACGTACAGTAAGATAAAATCCTTGCATTAATGTCGCTTTTTTATATAACATAGCTAAGAAGCTTTGTTTGTTTACGAAATAAATAAATTATTGAAGAAAAACACTATTAAAAAGCTTTTACATTATTAAATGAGAAGTATTGAGCAAATCATAATATATAGAACATTAAAATGTGCTGTTTTAATTTTTACCTTGTAAAAGTGCAGTAGGTGAATATTTGTTAAACCTATCAATACGCGTTGGCAGTTATTATTATGGATCTATAAATATGACACACATACACATCACTCACACATACAAAATGAACCTAGCACATATCGCTTAAATTAATATCACTTTTAGGTACAAATTACTCTCATGAAGTGCACTCACCTGGAGAATTAGAAATTCACTTGAATGTCCTATTTCAATTAACCAGGTGGTTGACACGTTGTAACAATACGAGTATGCACTATCAGGGTTTATACTAACAAGCTGAGTAATGTAACAAAATCCATATTTCGCAACTTTTGACTAGCATCATCACAGTGTGATTAATTAATTACCCACCGAGCAATATTTTTGTATTTCTAAGTTAATCAGTAAAAGAAATTAACATCTCCTACTACGCTAAGACATAGAGAACTCAGTCATATTTTTAAGTAGTTTCGTTTTTATGTGCTACGGTAAAAATATGACTAATAAATAGGTAATATTCAATAGCATTTTGTAAGAATGCTATTAGGTAACTTATAAACGTACATAATTTCTTAATCTAAGACTTTACTATTCTCTCTTGAGCCCATTCCCATTCTGTGTAGCGGCGGCTCTCTCCATTTCTTCTCGGCGACTAATTTGATACCTGTATAATGAACATTTTATTGTATTAGTCTACCTATATTTTCAGAACCCAGAGAAGCAACAATATAGAGTCACAAAATGTAATTTAGCACATATGACCCTTTCCCCAGCTTTTGCCCAGTCGTGATATTAATAGTTTACATTCAGGGATTTTATTGCTTTGTCTTAAAACAATACCAACCTATAAGTAGACATTATTGAAAGGTCCAATCTTCAGCAAATAGTTACTACAGTTTCTATTGGAAGGACTAATAGCTTACAATAACAATTTAGAAAGTTGCAATAACCCAATCGGCTGGAACGTATAGGTATTATTTGCGCGACACAGTGGTTCGTCATCGCGGATTCCCTGGCCGATTGCCAGAGCAATGGTAGCGTGCGATAGCACTAATTTTATTTCGTAACTCGTGTTTATAACACATAAAAATTGGTCAAGGTACAGTACCCATATCCAAACCGTGGAGCTTGATGACATTAAGACATGGACAATGTTTCAACTAAGCGTTGTTAAATATTAATCAAATTGAATGTCTTCTACAAAAACATTTTCGGGCATTTACTGCTTTTTTATTACTAAAGCGAGATATACTCAGTTTCTCTTTGTAATTCCAAGCTTTGTTTGATAAGTATATGAATTTATTATATAACAACGGGGCGATGACATGAATTCGTAGAATATTCGGCTAAATTTGACCTGCACTGACGTCAATAATTACTACCCACGGGCACTGCTTGCAGCCAAATTATTAAAAATTTCGGTTGAAGAATAAGTTCTGTTACTTTTTCATATTTCAAAGATTCCTTAGAAATCAAACGTGGGTTATATGTACTAGTGATAAATATCGAAGCCCTATAACCTGATTGTAACTGTTTAAGATTATAATAAATATTAATTAATTTCTGATATTTGTGCATTGTGCTTTATTAAAACTGGGGCATATTTACCAAACAACAAGTCTTCCGCTAAGCATGAAGAAGAAAACCAGCGCTGGAGCACAGCGGTCGAAGGGATCACCCACCATGACATGTGAATATGCTGCTAATATCATTAACAGAACAAGGCCAATGTTAGCCGTGTTCTTGATTTTATCTGAAACAACAGGATTTATATGTAAAACTAATATATATATAGGTATACGCTTGTGGTACTAAAAGGTTCTCAACAATTAGGTACTCTATGATGTAGATAATATGATAAACTTGTGAAATTCGCATAAAAATACATCTAGTAGTTTTGAGAATATCATAGTAAAGACCCAGACGAGGCATGGGAACTTGTTTTTCAAGTATAACTAATGATGGATACGTATGTACCTACGTATACGTAGCCAGGTACATATTTAAACATTTAGTTGGAACTTATTATTATGAGTGTTCAACCTCGTACTTGCCAGGGCCTATTAACTACACTCAATTTTACGTTCCTGTTTTATGACTTCATAAACTGGCAGGAATAACATTGGTTTTAACAATACTAATAAGAATACTTCCATTTGGCTCAGCAATGTTAGATGAGATGAGGCATGATACGCGGTTACTAGTTTCAGACTGGAAAAAATAAATATTTATCATCAACGTCAAATTACTGATATACATCAGTAGGTTGTTTCCGACACATTGCATGCCGCAGCTTTGGGAGCTTTCATACTATCGACATCACGCCAGATATTCTGACATGCGATCGTTTATCTTGCATCTATTCTTGTACCAGTGCAGAACGGATAAACAGGTTTTGTCACAAAAATGATTTAACACATTTTAATGCCAGGGTGATAACAAAAGCTAATCTCGCAACGTAAAAAGTTGAAACCTTTACTCTCACGGAATAGAACCTGCAACCCTAATACTCAACACGGTAACGACCTGTGTTAGGAAAAAAAATTACTTACGACTAGGTATAGCTGCTAAAGCTAATCCAAATAATATTTCGAGGCCACCAACCGCCCTTCGATACCATTTCGATGGTAATTTGAAGTCTAATGTTTCCGTCAATGGAAACACTTTCGCGTATCTCACATATTCTTTTCTCTGAAACAAACAATAAGACTGTAAGTTCATAATAAACGTTTAAAGTTTCAAACATTTTAGAATAGAATAGAATAAACGTTTATTTCTCTAGTTAAATAAATATACTATTACATCATCACTTAAAAATAGAATTTTTACAAGTGCATTTGGTATGTATTTTTGGTACATTTTGTCCGGGGAGGGATCTTTTGTAGCCTATTGCCGAATTCTTTTCACACAATTTTATACATAGCAATTATGAG